TCCGTTTTGAAATCCAACTAAGGATCAAGTTCATGATACACGACCGAAGTCAACTTAGCGGATGACAATGGAGGATCCACAAGGGATACAGGCTACTTTCAAATTAATATATACTGTATATGAGAGAACCCCTAACCCTGTTCACCCATTTCTTTAAAATATGATTACTTGGGGTGAACAGGGTTAGGGGTTCTCTCATATACAGTGTATATATATATATGAGGTCACCGGCTTTGTTTTTATGACAAATGTAATTGATGGTAAGAAGTGGGTCAAGGTTTTTGCTATGCAACAGACTGACAGTGCAACCTTAATTTATGACTTAAACACCATGAAAAGTACAGGGGAGAGTTATATTGAAAACAAAAGAAATAATAATAAATAGCACAACCATTCAGAACAGTACAGTTCCAAGCCTGAAAAATCGCACTTAGCTCTATATAAGCCTCAACAAAACCGAAAACTGTTTCGAACCACCTTCAACAAACGTTATTGTGCACGCGCGGCTAATGGCGTAGTTGCTACCCGCGGTGTGCGAGTTCTTATTCATAAAAAAAGTCCCCAGGAGCTAGGGTCAATCCCTTAGGAGCTAGTGTTCCCAGTCGGAAGATCCGCCGCGTTTCCTCGCGATGTCTCACGGCCGTTCTACCCTGTCTTACCACGGACCACGGGTCACGTTTTCGTTCTTCCTGTGAAGTCACATGTGCAGCACCTGGATCTGTGGCAGGAAATTGTTCCAGCTGGTTCGGTTAGGGTAGGGATCAACGCGAGTAGAGAAGGTGCTGTGAACCAGGATGTATCGGAGACTCGTTTTCCGCCGATAGACGCACAAGGGTTTGCTGTTAAATATATCCTTTGTAGAAGGGCCTTTGATCAATAAATGTAAGTTCTTGTTTCATCAGCGAGTCTTCAATTCCTTTTCTAGACCTTTACCTATCTACCCTGATTACAGTTCGTCCCATCTTCCTCACTGCAAGAACGTCATACCATACCGTCAATTTCCCCGTCTTCGAAGGATTTCTTCGGAAGATAATGACTTTGTGACCAAATCCAAAGAGATGGCATCATTCTTTGAGAGGAGACGATATCCACGAAGTGCCATCACCACCAGCCGAAAACCAACCCAACGGATTTGGCGTGAAAGAGCACTCAGGAACACTGAACGACATAAACAAACGCCCCGAGAAAGTGCCCCCAGTCCTCACCCACCACCCAACGAACCAGGAAGTCACGAAAACTCTTCTCAAGAACTTCCATATCCTGACCGATGACTCCTCTACAAAGGTCATATTTAACAGCAAACCGTTGTGCGTCTATCAGCGAAATACGAGTCTTCGAGACATCCTGCAGGTTCACAGCACCTTCTCTACTCGAGTTGATCTTACCCTAACCGAACCAGCTGAACAATTTCCTTGTCACACACCCCAGTGACGCACACGTGACTTCACAGGAAGAACGGAAACGTTCACCTCCACTTACATGGATGTTCGCCTAAAGGAACAGTGCGATTGCACTGAAGCCTAGGGGCTTGAACATTGAATTCAAGTTCAATTGAATTCTCCTTTATGATTAAGAACTCGCACGCGCGCGAGTAGCATGTTCAAGAGCATCTACACCACTAGCCGCGCGGGAACATTAACTTTTGTTTAACGCTTCAAATTTGCGACTGAAGAAGGGATTTTTCCCGAAACGTCTCTAAAAAATACCTTTAACACTTGTTGTACACTTAATCTAAAGCAAAACAGTTACCTGTGGTCTGTAACAAGGGAGAGTGATTCGGGTCATCACTGCGTGTGATCTTAAACTCTCTGCCGCTAACCAGCTGAAACGCAGCTGAGATCATGTCAGCGTTAATAGAGGGACTGTATGTTGCTCCCATGGCAACTTGCTGGTCATACCACCAGTAGCTAGTGTCATTCATCCAGTTCTTGTTGTCATTATTGGAGAATCGAGCAATGAGTGTCCATCCTTTGCCATCTGATGTCATGTCACAATAGACCTATTATCAAAATTTAAAAATTTAATTTAAGATGCTACAGTATGTCAAACAATTTCAGTGAAATTGGTCAGTAATATCCCGAGCGAATTTCAAGTATAGACTAAAAGAAGTTCTACGTTAAAGAAAAAACGAAAATCGGGGAAACCAACCGGTGATCAGTCCATATGGCAAAACTTGAACCACCCAAGGAGGGTGGGGGGGGGGGGCGGAAGTAAATCAGATCGCGTTCTTTTCAAAATCAAAGGTCTCAAAGTCTCAAAGGACGCAGACAACCCGTTTGAATCAATTAAAACGCCAAGGAAATACTTGTAGTCGTTGGGAAGCGCGGGTAAACGCGTGTGTGCGACTGAACTAGACACAACTGTTTTTTTTTTGGATAGTAATGCAAAACCAGAGCAAATAGTAATTTCCTTCGACACTTAATTAATTGAGAGCTGCTCTAATGCAAAAACTAATTTCTTGGTCATATCGTTAGGTCTTCAAGTTTGTGTAAGCGAATTTACATATAACTCAAATAAAATAGTTTTGGATGTGCTATAAATGTAAAAGTTTCATTGTCGCGATAGCATTGATGGTCTAATAAGCCACGTTCGATATATCAATATTCTAACATGGTTCCGAAGCTTTTGGGTCAAAATTGTAATTTTTTTTTAAGTTTGTTTTGTCTCTCAATTCCCAAAAGAGACTTGGATACAGAGAAAACAACACCAAATATAGAAGTTTGTCCTGAAAGCCTCGGAGCCATGCTAGAATATAGATATATCGAACATGGCCTATTGTTACAACGTGAGGGCTTCAAAAACCCTTTGTCCCAATCCCGGAAGACCAAATATAGATAGCCCTGTCTGAATATGGTCAATTTCAACCTTACCACATATTTAGAGGAGCTCACAGAACTTGCATAATAGGTTCCGTCAGGTTTTCCTGAGTTTCCTTTCTGGATCTCCTCGCACGACGCACCTTTGTGAAGAAGGAACGTAAAACACTTCAGCAAATTTGGCCAGTCGGCTTTTGTGAAATGATCGAAGACGGATCAACAGCGACTTTATAGAAAGATGCTTGTTGTGCAAAATAATCATGAAAAGTCCGAGGTTTTGGCGTCTCTAACTAAAGGTATTTTGTATTTCGTCTATTATACATCTACTCAAATTTAAAATGCGATTCGAGTATTGTAACATGGATATAAACATGAAATATCATTATCTTCATAGCTCTCCTAACCCCTACCCCCTCCCAACCAAAAACAACAACATCATCATCAACAATACCAGAAAGAAATAAAGATAAAACTGAAGTATACGTTACCTGTCTCTAACGTGTGAACACCGAGAGCGGTCAGTGTTCGTGTGGATCCAAGTTTGTTTGTGGCTGTGCACATGTACGTCCCAGTGTCCGCAGGTCTGAAGTCTTAAATAGATAATGTTCCGTTGTCGACACTGCTCCGTCCTTTTGGTAAAGCGGAAAAAGGCCGAGTCCACTGAATAACAGGTGTTGGAAAACCAAAAGCCTCACACGTCAACTTCGCAGTATCTCCTTCGTAAATTGTGTACGAGCGATGTGGTATTTTAGTCAGCTTGGGAGGAACTGAAATCAGTAACACAAAGAAAATGATGTTGGTAAGATACATGCATTAATTATATTTAAACAAGAAGTCGGATTAAACCGATAAAACAACTACGTCTTAGACATCGGATCTTGTAAAAAAATGTTAATTTTTTTTCAGAAAAATGACCTGAAGAATAAAGACAAAGCTCTAAAAAACATTGAATTAAACAAGTTAAAGTACACTCTAAGGAAAGGGTTAACCCTTCAGGATACCAGATAGACCTTGGGGGCTTCCCATGCCACGTGACCAAGTCAACAAGGTGTCCCTTCAAAGAACTTTCAAAATTACAATACACCAATTTTAATTAGTGTACTGTATTGTCTTAAACAACTTAATAGAATACCAAGAGATTATCAAGGTCTTGAAAATACCGATTTTAATATTTCAAGACCTTGATAATCTCTTGGTATTTTAATATGCTGCCTAAAACAGGATTACAGTGTATTGCTTAATTTTGATTTACCTTACATTAAATAACAATATCCAAAAACACAGTTGGCTCTCTCAACAATACAATATACTGCTAAGCAGAGTATGCTTGTGGCGGTCGCAGGCCTAAGTCTGTTCGTCTAGTCTGTTTCTGGCAAAGTGTTTGTTTTCACTCAGGGTTTGAATTTGAAATATAATATTTTTTTTTATAATTGTAATTTTTTTTTTTGTCAATAACGATCATTCGTTTTATCAATTCTTTCAATAACGTTGTTTTTAACTTGTTTTATTTTCAGAGGTTCATAATTCTTATCATCAAAAACTAAGATAACGGGGACTCACCTTCGAGGAAAAGTTTTGTCATTTTTCGATCCTGTCCCAAAACATTTATTGCTGTACAGGTATAATTTCCCGTGTCGTTGTAAGATGAATTCGGTATTTCAAGTTTGCCATCATTTGTAGACAGTATTTTTTCTCCAAGTGATTCATTAACTTTGCCCCAGGTCACTGCAGGCCTTGGATTTCCACTGGCCGAACAGTAAAATATAGCGGTCTCGTTGTCAGTGACTGTTTGAGTGACAGGTGATACAATAACCTCTGGAGTTGAAATGGTTCGCCGGGTTCCCCCTTCAATCCCGTCAACCCCCGCGGACCAGCAACACCTGTTGATATATATAGAATGTTAAAACAAATCAAGCACTGAGCGTGTAATTCCCTCGGTACCGGATGTAAAAGCCACCGGCTCTATACTGACCAGCTGCGATCGTCAATGTCATTATGTCATATAATTTTACGACTAGTAGTAATCAGAGATTATAAAAGTGCGTTCAACGCTCTCACTTTAATATATATACCTTAAATAAATGATTTCACTAACTTTCAACCTTTGTCTATTGCTAAAATCAACATTTTTCAGCAGCAACCGAGGTTTTAAAGTCAGATATGCATAGTGTCAAAGTCCATGCTAGTGAAGAGGTCAGGATTTGTTGATGCGTTGCGTGACGCCGTCAGTTTCTGTAGACTCGCAAGTTTCATAGAATATTAAATTACGTACATTATTCTAAGCTGGAAGCACAAATTTAAGCTAGCATTTGCAATCGCGTGGTCATTTATCGTAAACAAACTCCGTGCGACTAATTCGAGTATTTCCCCTGATGAATAAAGCAGACTTTTGGATCTTGCCTTCAGAGTACTTTTCCACCGATTCCAAACAATAAAAGTTCGACCGGATAAAGATTGAGCTATCTGTCCCCACTGGAACCAATCAACAAATGCAATCAAAATGTAACTGTTCCCACGGTTAACATCCCAAAGCCAGGTCGTGTTAATAAATAAGGATAATTCCCTCAGATTTAGATAAATGCTACCGTCGAAGCGTTTAAATTCACCAAAATCTAACGCTGAGAGTACATAATAGTGAAGCGTACGGCGACTGAATGGAAAGAAGTCAAAGAAAGATCCAGCGCAAAGACGAGCTCACATGACCTGCTCACATACTCACATGTTCGCCACATGTCTTATCACATGTCTTATCATTAAACGGTACCAGCTTACTGGCCGTGACATGCCCCTACAAAAATCAAGCGAGGTGGCCATTTTGGTGTCCTTACAGGAATGTGGATTTTTCTGCATATAACCGTGCACCAACTCTGAAAAGCCTCATGTCAAAATTAGGCTTGCGCTCTTCGAACGCAATAACTGAAAAATTCCTCATGCGCCCATTCGGTAATTTTTAAGTGCAATAGGAGAACAGACGCATACATGACGCTATCACGATCAGATCTTGAATGTATTCCCAAACTTTTATTTTTTTAGTGTAATTTCATGTGTAGATCCACAGCTACTGTGACAACGTAGCGACACAATTTGTCATCATAAAGGACAGAGATATAAAACAAGCCAATTTGGTTTAACTTTTCGCATTTTCTTGGGATATGTGCATATATGAAGTTAGAGTGTATCATTCTCTCCATAGAACATAGTAATCACCACATAACAAGGACAAATTAACAGAACTCACAATAGAAACGGCTTACGATAGCATCAACTGAATGTTGGGTAAAGCTATGGCACTAGAGTCACAAATTTACAGCTTGAGTAAGAATTTCCAAGTTACCTCTGTTCTCACTCCATTCTGGCTTTCGCCGCTAATGCATTAGTTTACGATCATTGGGCGTAGACTTCTGGTTGTGAGCATAATGCTTGTAGCTACATCAATTTAACATTTACTTTAATATTATATTATTTTGACTCATTAACCACTCTGCATCAATTACAAGGACAACAATCTTCCCCTAATTCCAGGTTAGAGTTACAGTTTTAGAATTTCAAATTTCAAAATAGATTTATAGTAGACGTCTTTCTCACCTTTATCGTCTTTTTCTCCTTTTATTCCTTGATTTCCCACGATACCTTGCTTGCCGTGTCTACCTGGTAAACCCATGATGCCTTGTACTCCCTTTTACCCCTGGCACCTTGAACTCCTCGTCTCTCTCGGGAACCTTTGTTTCCTTTCTCACCGGGAGGGCCTGGGACGCATACTTTCTCCAATGGCTGACACAGTGATGCTGGTTTGAGTTTATTGAACTGTTTGGTGATTTCATTACGGACATCTTCTATGCTGAGAGATTCGTTACTGACTGATATCAAGCTGCGGCGGACTTTGGCGTTTGTTGTCTTTTCGGAATCTGCAAGAAACAGGAAATGAAAATGATAGGCTACGTGCAAACCACTGCGATTCCTTTTAGGGAAATAGTCGACGTATGCAAGTTGGCTTGTCTGACTCTTTCGATTTCAGACATTACTGAGGTATGAAACCCGTGACGGTCTGCCAAATATTTCATCTTTTTACCCAGGTACGCATAAATGGATATCTATACATCGTGACTTACTTAGGGCCTTTTAACTTTGAAGTCGCTCTGTGGTATTAAATAACGAAAACAAAAGTCACGATACGTAAAGAACAAATTTTCTTTGTTTTGCTATCAGTGATACATGACGATCGATCAGTTTTAGTTTTGCCTCATCAGTAAAGAGGGTCGTACAGGAGTATTCTTGTGATTAGCAGATTTTATTTTCCATGAAACGTGAATTTAGGAAATTATTCTTCGTGATTCGTGACCCGAAGGTTTTGCGTGACCCGTGAAGCACCTGAATAATTAACCCATCTTCGTGATTTTACTACTCTATTCTAGGTGATTTTGAGACCCAAGTCCTCCCAATGGTTAGAGTTGTCTATCGAGAGCGACTTAGGTGAGCGATTTGCAATATGGAACCTTGACTTAGCCATTCGCGGTTTTGCTTTCTTCAAACACTGGTTCTAGTGTAAGAACAGAATATTAAACAGAGTATCTTAGTTGCTTATTTTCGTGTTTCGGGAAAACGAAATTTTTATATACGTGATCCGTGATCCTCTATTTTTTTCCGTTCGTGAACCATGCCAGAGACCACCCTTGTAGGACCCTCAGTAAAGTTGAGTAAACAGGACTTCCCGTAATTTGATCAGTCATGTATATCAACGTCGAATCTCTCTTATCCGCTGAAACTAGGTCACAACGAAGAAGAAATTCAGTTCAGAGACATCTCGATGTATTAACCATGTACAGTTTTTTTTTTTTACTCGAGGTAATTAGCGATCTTAACCTCGGACAAGTATAATTTGTTTCAGAATAAGCGACAGCATAATTTGAAGTTTCTAAAGGTACTATCCCTTTTCCCCGAATGAAGATTAAGAGACATCTAAATGGTTCTGTCACTACTAAATAATGTAAATAATAAAACTGACATTCAAAAGAATAAGGTCTTTTACATACTCTCTAGCACTTCCATTCG